CTGGAGATCTCCCATTGAAAAAATCAACATCTGTTTTCCATGAAATACTGCTTGGTGAAGAACGGGATTCCCCTATTTGATGATTTTAATCCCCAATAGATTGGATAGTACAATCCCCAGACTACTCATCAACCAACAGGGGTAGATCGCAGCCACTACTCCGTTTGAGAGGTCGAACTCATCAATTTCGTTTCGCGCGGCTGGCCGCGCTTCTGAAGTTCTTAATGTCGAAGAGTGCAGGGTTGTGTTCCATTGGCTGTAAAACAGAGGTATCCTGCTTGATATACCTAGGTGTCCCACTTAAACGTTGTTTGGAAGATTCCTGAAATGAGTATGTTGTATGTTGTAATATGAGGGAATATATACCATATTTATTATTATACATTTTATTGGATGTAATTCCTGATGATATGCTGTTAATCTACTGATATATCCCAGTCTATCTTCTCAGTTCTGAAATTCGGAGTTTCAGCAGGATACCTCAAAAAACAGCCGAGGCTGAGACAATTTTGTGGCGCTTCTTCTTTGACCTTAAGATAGAATGGCCGATTCCGGCCGATTCAACCAGAACAATGCAAAAAGAGTGGATGTGTACAAGTCAAATCCAAACGTTAGAAATGCCAGGCAATATGTTGGGCAATATGTTGCAGCGAGGAATATCAAACTATGTCGATGCACATTCATCGAACATTTTGGGAATATCCATCGAATAATCCAAAGGCAGTTGAACTTCCCAAACTTCTTGCAGTCAATCTCGGCCCGGCCGCCAGCGACGGCACATCGTTGAGTTGAAAAGGGACGGATCGGATGGGCGACGAAATTGTGGGGATTTTTTTGGGGGGGACTTCATGGTATAATTTGGATATATATGGTTTTAATATGGTTTTATATGGATAAAAAATTGAATTTTACCTGATTGGTTAATGATTATCTTTGGATACCCGGCCTGGTAAACATACAAAAAAACGATGGAAAGATCCACCATGCTATTAATGGGAAAATCCACTGTTTCGACTGGGCCATGGCTTCAATAGCAAACTGTTAGTTTACTACGTCATGGGATATTTTATGATTATTTTCAGATTTTTAGATACCCATCATGTATACAAATGGGATGCCAGTTACCCGGGTTTTGGATTTTGGGTATCTTCCCAATGGAAAATCCGCCAGAAATGGGGACTCTCTTTTGGGAATCTGTTTATTTTTGGGGGATTCCTTAACTAAGTTGATTTGCCCCATGAACTACAGTCATACCCTCTGGTACACATACAAAAAACTATGGAAAATCATCATTTGTGATGGATAAATCAACTATTTCTATGGCCACTTTCAATAGCAAACTGTTAGTCATTACCAGAGGGTATCTCCCCAAAAAAACATGAAATTCACAAAGTTGGCGCCTTGAGGACGGCCGTGTTCAGCTTCAAAAGCCTCTTTTTTGGGTACATAATCATATCAACCATATCAACCATAGGTATATAATCACTGGTTGGTGGTTTGGAACAGTTTTTATTTTTCCAATTGGTAATAATAACCCCAACCGACTAATATTTTTCAGGGGTTGAAACCACCAACCAGATCATAAATACAAACCCAATATCAATATGTTACAGTTATAGTTAACCGATCAACTAATAGTTACCCTCTGGTAAACTACTCAGTTTACTATGGAAAGATCCACCATGCTATCAATGGGTAACTCCACGAACTTTCTATGGGCCATTTTCAATAGCAGACTGTAACAATTTACCAGAGTGTACATCCCTAGATATCCCTACATTTCATGATTCTCTGGGGTTTCACCCCATTCATTTGAACCAATCCTTCATAAAATTACTGTATGAAAAAGGAAGAAGTACGACTAGTCATGGGGATGCATGGGGCGTTAGGCATATCAGCTGTCTAAGAAATGATTTGGGTCTATAAATTCACTACCCTCCAGTAAAGTACCCTTTGCCTGGTAAACATACATACATAGATAGCTGTTGAAAATGGTGATTTAGTTCGTTGATTTACCCATATTAAAAATGGTGGATCTTTCCAGTTCGCTATGTTTACCAGGCCGGGTAACATGATTTCATCAACTTTCCGGTGCTACGGTCGTGTAACGAAAATCGCTGGGAAAATTTCATCACGACCGAAGCCTGAGACCTCCCGAAGCCTGGGAATCATAGTTATACCCAATGGTTGGAAAATAGACCATAGTTGGGATTAATCAATGGATTATACATCTGAGTAAATTACAACGACCTCACTGTTCTCCCTCACTGGGAATAATTCTGAGTAAGGGAAATCATCCCCTTTTATGGCCGAACTTAATTCAGGTGAGTGAAATATGAATTAATTTACCCAGATATCGATATAAACTGGGCTGAGGCGCCCTCATGATGGGATTAGGGCTAATTATCCCAACATCCCCGAGCTTTTTTCACGGCTTTGTGAATTATGATGTTTTGTCGCCGGCATTATGTGGATTTCTCAAAGAACCATACAATAGTGAGCATGTACTGTTACCCTCTGGTTATGTCAAAATAGCTATTGAAAATGGCCATAGAAATTTGATTTATCCATTAGAAATGATGATTTTCCATGGTTTTTTGTATGTTTACCAGAGGGTACATTGGAAACAAGACCTCCTGCTTACGAAGACACGGAACTGCCGCTTCACCAGCAAACGCTTCACCTTCTCGCGATGTCGTGGAACCCCTCATTTTCGAGTCATTCGAGTCACCTAGTCCATGAAATATGATTAAAACAGGGATGAACAGGGTTTTTGATCACTGGATCAATACAACAAAACATAGTCGATATCAGATTGTAGCAGGATTCAAACTGGATCCAATACAACAACTCAATGGATTGGTTTTGTTCGGAAAATCTTCACCGGAAACCATCTAGATTTCCCCATGAAGATCATGGGGCTTTCCTGCATTTTTGTTTATTGTTGTTGCCCTTAAACCAATCCATCTGGGTAAATCATAAGATTTCACTAGCCACTAACCTGAATTATAACTGGGTAAATCATATATTTATAAAAACATATACCATATATCTGGGTAAATTATAATATTTCACTGACCTGAATTAAGGCCATTTGGAGATGATTTCCCTTAAACCAATCCATTGAAACACGAAAAAGTCACCGCATTTCCCATGAGCTGTTTCGCCAATGGTCTCGATGCCGGCTCCATGTGACGCTCAAAACTCAGGGTGTGGCGGGCGGAGGCTGGCTCCAGGCTGGGTCCAGCCGCTGGCTTTTGAACATTTTGCCATGGAAAATATGGAGATTTACCCTCTGGTTATGACTAACAGTTCGCCATGGTTTTTCGATGGCCCTAATCGAAATAGATGGCTTACCAGGCTTACCTATGAAAAATGGTGGATCTTTCCATGGCGAACTGTTAGTCATAACCAGAGGGTAAGTGATTTCAGCAACTAAGAATGCATCAAGAATGAGGACTTCACCAAGAAAAAATGCTGGTGATATCATGGCTAGTTGGTGGTGTTTAAGGAACCATGGAATGGAAAAAATGACTTTCCAGAAACAGTTGGGATTATATAATGGATTATAGTGGTTTAATGATGTTTAATGTATTATATAAATGACTTTCCACTTTTTCCATTCAGTTGGGAATTTCATACTCCCAACTGACGAGTTGTCCATCATTTTTCAGAGGGGTAGGGCTCAACCACCAACCAGATGGTGATAAAATGGAATATTCGTTGGCAATTCATTGGATATTGATGGAACTAACCAAACATCTCCGGAGAATATGCTGTTGAAAAACACATTTTTTTGCAGCAATCCAAAGTTTGGTTGTTTTTGGTACCTAGCTGTCTCAAAAAAAAGCACACTAATTAATTGTGGTGAATGATCATTTTTGATAGTTTATTATATTAGTGATGTTCATATTGAAAGGTTCATATTGAACGGTTCAGATTGAAAAGTTCATATGTTCAAACAAGTGTACATGTAAATTCTCAGAATGATCGCAGTTGATGTTTTTTTCAGTTGGCGAAACAACGGATCAAACGATAAAGAACATGTTCAGCAAACAACGGTTCTGCCAATGAGTTCGATGATTTTCCCAGCAAACTAAACCTCCATTGATAAGGGATTTTATGGGTTGCCACGTTTGATTCCGTATAAACCAACATACATCAATATACCATGTGTATCCCATTCATATATCATTATTTCAATATCATATTACAATATATCCCCATGTTGTTTATCAGTTTTGTATAGTTTTGTTGGTTTACTCATGTTAAAATCCCAATTTACGGCTGATACTGTTCCTCTAAATTGGAGTCCCCAAAAGAAACCTGGTCTTTGACCCAGCTCGGAAACGGCCGAGGCTGATCCCACTGTTCCAGTACCTTATCCATCCTTTGATCTCAGGTGTGGAGTCGATATCAGTGGCGAACTGCCTCCGGTAAACAAACAGTTTGCGAACTGGAAAATCACCATTTTTAATACGTAAGTCAACTATAAATGATATTTGTCAATAGATGTGTTAGATTAAATTACCAGTGGCTTATGTGTTGTTTTTTTTTGTAATGAGTAAAAATGATGATTATATCATATTATATCATCATGTGATAAATGATGGATTAGGGATATCCGATGTTCAGACAAACCCATTTCTTTCTGGTATGGATATCAGTGACTTATCAGGAAAATCATACTGAGTGTCATTCTGATAGCTACGTTATTTTACCAGAGGGTAGGTTGAACTGGTTGCTGGTTTGGAACATGATTTTTATGACTTTCCATATATTGGGAATAATAATCCCAACTGACGAACTCATATTTTTTGGAGGGGTAGGTATACCACCAACCAGGTTAAATCACCAGAGAGTAAGAATCATTATTATGTCATGATATTCCCGGTATATCCTCATCATACTCTAAAGATGTTCCTCAAGGTTTTTTTTTGTGCTATCCATTGCATGATATCCGACAGGAGTTGGTGTTTCTCAAAGCTTCTCATGGGCCAATGACGAAGTCGATGCGACAGGCAACTGGAAAACTCGAAGACTTCGGATGTCTTTTTGCCTGTCTATGTCAGGCACTTGGTGCCTTCATTGCCGGATACTAGTTTCACTATAGATATTATATATATATGTAGTTTTATAGTGTAATATTTTTTCACCAATCGAATCCGATAAAATAGAAACTTCACATTAATGGTGTTACATATATAGTTTATCCCTAATAATCCCCAAGAAAACAGCTTCTAAAATCGGATTCTACAATGAAAAACATATCCCCAGGTATTAAATTTCACGAGCTTGATATCCAATATATTCCCTAAGAAATCACAAAATCCCAGGAGCTCGTGAATTGAAAAAAATCCCCAGGCACTTTTTAGCTCCATCCATCTGAATTTGAGAAAACAACCATCCCAACCGAAGCCTGTTCCCGAAGCCTGGAGTAGTTTGGGATTCGGATGTGGGGAATCCCCAAAATCCTACTGGAGATGAGCCGGAGATGAACCAGTCATGGGGAATGACTCATGAAGCATGGTGATTTTCCATAGTTTTTTTGTATGTTTACCAGAGGGATTGTCCATATGATTTCCTCATACTGTTTTATCGTTGATATTCCATGACTTATTTAATATTATATACCATGATATATACCAAATGGGGAATATTGACCACTATAGTATGAGGAATTTATTTAATACTAATATGATATATATATATATTACATCCTATTATATGAATATTAAAGGTTAGTAAGGAATAATTAGTTAACTGTTGTGATGATATCTTACTAACCTTTCAATCCTTTCATCATCCCAAAATGGGGTTACTATCTTTGATATATATATATACATATATTCCACAATCACCAGCAAATTTCAGGTTAGTGAAATATGATTTCCTTTACTCAGCTCGGTTGCTGGTGATTTATTTCACATATTAATATATATATAATATCATAGAGAGTAACCTCCACGATGAAAAACTCTGCAATCTGAATCTAAAGTAATGATAAATTGCGGTTCTTATTTTTCATATCTATCTAATGTTTCTCTACAAATATATATATATATATTATTGTTGCAATGAAATAGGAATTGTCAAAGATTGATATTATATCAAAAGGTATTTGTCAATAGACTTATATATATATATTTACAATTAAAAACATTTATATTGATATTTGATGTAAGAGACAATAAAATGAATCGATCCCTAGTGGGTTTTTTGTAGGGTTAGATCATCCACTGAAAAACCTAGGGTGAACTCACCAACATACCCTCTGGTTATGTCAAAACATAGCTATTGAAGCCATGGCCCAGTCGAAATAGTGAGTTGTCCCATGAACAATGGTGATTTTCCATAGTTATGTAACAATTTACCAGAGGGTATATCATCATATATCCTATCAAATTCCATTAAATGCCATTGAATCACCATCATATATCCCATTAAAACACCATTATCCCATTAAAACACCATTATGGAAATAGTTTTTTTGTATGTTTACCAGAGGGTAACTTTCCCTCCATGGGATGATCTTTGGTTGAAGGAACCGAAGGGTTTGACCAGCAGATGGTTGGGATAAAATTTTTGCCCCAACTTTTCACGTGTGAAAGCCATTGAAACCACCAACCAGCCACTAAGATTCCTATTCTAAGCAAAATATAGAATCTGTAGATATCCCTAGTTGCTGAATAATTTAGATGATTTGGTAATATTGAGTACCCTCTGGTAAACATACAAAAAACTATGGAAAACCACCATTTTTCATGGGTAAATCCACTATTTCTATGGCCAGTTTCAATTGCTATTTTGACATAACCAGAGGGTAATTTTCTAGGTCAATGGAAACCATCAATGGAAACCATATGATTTTCATATTGGAACTTTGGTGAATCCATTCTAGGTCAATCGGCTGGATGGATAGAAACTAATCCTAACTAGTCTTTAGGTATCTGGCTGGGACTGTCTACGTTTAAATCAGCAAAGAATTGGGTCCATTTTTTGCAGGGTATCTAAGATTGGCAATGTTTTGGGGTTTCTTAAAATGGAGTATCCCAAAACCAGCAGGCTTTCAGTACTAAATGCGGTTTTTCATTTTATGATTTGGGGATGTATCTGTTACATCCAGAATCCCAAATTGTCTTGGCCAACTTGTCATACTTTTCAGGTACTCTCTGGTAAACTAACATAATTATTGAAAGATCCACCATTTTTAATGGGTATAGTTCAACTATTTCTATGGCCATGTTCAATGGTTTTTTGTATGTTAACCAGAGGGTAACTCAGTTCCATAGATGTCCTTTTCCCATTGGTTGGTTGATGAAAATAGAGGGGGTTCTTCAGGTTTACCCCTGAAAAACAACAGGTTTCTATGATGATAGATGGTATACCAGTCACCGGCCCAAACCTATTTTTACCAAAAGGACATTATTGATTGTTATCTCCAAAATAGTTATTTACCAGTATTTACCAAACCTGAGCGATTTATGAACTTGGAATTATTTATATATTCACCATGTTTTTTTTTACATATGGCAGTGTGTCAAAACCTTGTACCCCTGTAGTTCATTCACATCAAAATAGCTGGTAAATGGATGTTCATTCCTCTAAAAATGGTATTATATAATAGGTATTGATCCATATTGCTCAGTTCCCAGCAGTTTTCTGAGGTCCCGTTGGAAGAATTTCTCTGTGGAGCCATCCGACACGTCAGGGGTCCAAAAAGTGGGGCCGGCTTCAGGTGCTGCGGCTGAGTTGGACACCCATCTGACGTGGCCATTGGAGCCATCAATGGATATTAATGGATGTTAATGGATGATATGTCTATAGTCAATGTTAATGGATGTTAATGATAGTCAATGGATGTTAATGGATAGTAAATATCTACAATGTGAGGCCCCCCAGTGATGTGAACGGAGCTACTTACCATATATCTGGGTAAATTATAACGACCTCACTGTCCTCCCTCACTGGAATCATGGTTAGTAAGGGAAATCATCCCCTTTTATGGCCTTAATTCAGGTTAGTGAATTATTATAATTTACCCAGATATATACAATGTGAGGCCCCCCAGTGATGTTAGTTGGTAGAAGTTTATAAGCCCCAGCAACTAGTTCGTTATTTGCGTACCATAAACCAGTTCGTGACATTGGAGTTATTTGCACCAACTTAGATATCGTGGCCGGGGGCCTCACATTGTTTTTGGCCTATATATATATATATATATATCAGGCCTAAATTTCAGGGGATATACCCACAATTCATATGGCCAAGTTAATATGGTACGTTTACGTAGCTCCATCATCTGGATCCTAAAGATCTCCCATCAGGTGAAGGTGAATGTAGAGGAGTTGAGGAAGGCTGGCCACATCTTGCTGCAGGAGAGGGTGATTCAGTGATGGATTTGGGGGAAAATCATCAAACATATTCATGGTGAATAGTGGATTTATGGATTTGGACCTGGATTGGAAATCTGGGATGAAAATTGGAAAACATGTTGGTTTCAACTTTTTTGGAAGGAAAAATCGGAGAATCCAAACCGCAAACCATGGGTTTTGTCTTTAAAGATTGACTTTTCCCGTATCTTTGTTCCCGAAACCAATGCGATGTTTGTTGGTCACGACAGTGTCGGAGGTCCATGGACTTCACCAAGTCCAGAAACCAAAACATGATGAGGAGGTTTCCGACCCACGGGAATATCGGAATAGCCCAACATGGATGGTTTATAATGCTTCTTTTTTCTATAGAAATAGAAGATTTGGGGGGTACCCCCTATTTTAATCCATTTTAGGAAACCTCTATATTACAGTAGTTTTGAAGTGCATTTCCAGTTCTAAGTGGATAGATTTCGACGTGTATCCCCAAGTAATGGGTGATGAAGATGTATCTTGAGTTGTTCTCAGGGAACGATTTGCAGACATTACTCTGGTTACGATTCTGAACGTGTTGCAAAACACATTGAATTGCTGGAAATAGGGTGCATATACTTATACCATGTCATCCATTTATATGTTTGGAAAATCTATTGAAATCTCCCTGTTATAACCATAATATTGATGGAAATAGACGTTTTGGATCATACATGTGCATTGTCCAAATTATTAACATCTTTGGATCCGAAATGATTCGTCATCGTTCCCAAGCGATGAGGATATCACTTATTCTAGACATATCTACCAGAAACTCAGTAGTTAAGCTAGTTGTGATTACCAACTTAACATGATACCCTCTGGTAAACTAACATAGCTATGGAAAATCATTATTTTTAATTGGTAAATCCACTATAAATGGCCATTTTCAATAGCTATGTTAGTTTACCAGAGGGTATTCCCAATATATCCACTATTTGTTGGTTAAATCATGTTAAGTCCCGATTTGTTGTTGATGGTTAAATCACCGCGTTTTTTTGACCTGTCTGACGTCTGTCTGATTTTGTCTTGGAAGGTTGTCTAAGTTGTCTCGCTTCCCGCTTGTATTCCATGCTTTTGAACAAAAAAAACTAACCATTCAATCACCATGTTAGTGACCCCACCTTGTTTCATAGTGTGCGCCAAAGATGGTCCAAACAATACACAAATAGTCCCTATAGATTCCCTAAATATCCCTAAATCATGGATTTACCAATGGGAAATGAAACATCACCAACTCAGATGATGATGATGATGATGATGATGATGATGATGATGATGAGGATGAGGATGAGGAGGATGAGGAGGAGGATTTGCGAAAATGTGAGATTCCAAGTAATACGAGGTACACCTCTATTTACCTCGGGATTTTTTTTTCGATCGTTTCCGTTGATTTTCCCATAAAAACCCTCGATTTTCTCATAGGCCAACCCACATTTTCCCATGTTTTTTTTCCTGGTTGGTGGTTTGGAACCATGGAATTTTATGACTTTCCATTCAGTTGGGAATTTCCATCCATCCCAACTGACTCATATTTTTCAGAGGGGTAGGTCAACCACCAACCAGTTTTTCGTGTGGAAAACGGTGGTTTTTCCCAGGACACCTTCGAGGTCTTGGTGCCCAAAGGTGCCCCAGACGGACATCGGGTGACCTTCCAGAGGAAGGCGCGGCGGAATGGAAGAAGCGCCAGGAAGATGGGCATAGAATGTGGGGCCCCCGGCCATGATATCTAAGTTGGTGCAAATAACTCCAATGTCACTATGGTTTATAGGTGATATATCTATAGTTAATGGGATATGGTGATATATCCGTTAGTTTAATGGTGATAACTATGGTTTAGAACTCCAATGTCACTATGGTTTATGGTACTTATAACTATAGTTATTGGGGCTTATAAACCAACTTATAACTGGGGAGCCTCACATTGTAACCATTAATAAGATCTTATAAGATCTTATAAGTATAGTTACTGGGGCTTATAAACTAGTTCGTTATGTGCGTACCATAAACTATAGTAACTATAGTTATAAGTACTAAACTGAACTGTGACCCATGTTTAGTGGAAACTGGTCGTCTGAAGCAACCGCGATGACTGCCAGGGTCGTCTGAGGCTACTTCACCGGAAAACTGTGAATGAATTAAGCGTGAAACTTGTGAATTCACCACAAACTTGCTAATTTTAAGCATGCAAAATGGTGGTTTAAGATAAAAGGATTGGCCAAGGAAAATCCATTGATTTGAGATGGTAACCTGTTTTCGGTGAAGCCTTTTTCGAAATTCCGGTGGATACTGGAGGCTCATCCCACTCAGCTGGTGGATGTTCACCCTGGAGGATGATCACCCTAAAAATATTCCACCGAAAAAACCCAAGAATATCACCTTAGGATCAGTAGGTAGTTCGCCACCAAGTAGTTGATATGTATATATATATATATCATCAACTGATTATAATCCATAGTTAACTACTTGTATTATCAGTTGATATATATATATATATATATATATCATCAACTGATTATAATCCATAGTTAACTACTTGTATTATCAGTTGATATATATATATATATCATCAACTGATTATAAGCCATAGTTAACTACTTGTATTATCAGTTTATTTATATATATATATATATCATCAACTGATTATAATCCATAGTTAATTACGTGTATTATCAGTTGATATATATATATATATCATCAACTGATTATAATCCATAGTTAACTACTTGTATTATCAGTTGATATATATATATATATCAGAATTTTCTGAAGATGGTCATCCTCAGAATTTTCTGAGGATCCTCAGAATTGTCGCTCAATAAGCGTTTTTTTTTCATGAATATGTGCCAAAAAAACGCTTATTTTCAAACAAAAAAACGCTTATCGAGTGAAAATTCTGAGGATCCTCAGAAATTCTGAGGATGACGATCCTCAGAAAATTCTGAGGATCTAAGGACGACGATCCTCAGAAAATTCTGAGGATCCTCACAGAAAATTCTGAGGATGACGATCCTCAGAAAATTCTGAGGATGACGATCCTCAGAAAATTCTGAGGATCCTCAGAAAATTCTGAGGGTGACGATCCTCAGAAAATTCTGAGGATCCTCGGAAATTCTGAGGATGACGATCCTCAGAAAATTCTGAGGATAACGATCCTCAGAAATTTCTGAGGATGCTCAGAAATTTCTGAGGATCTTCAGAAAATTCTGCGGATCTTCGCAAAATTCTGAGGATGAAGATCCTCAGAAAATTCTGAGGATTCCTGAGGATCTTCAGAAAATTCTGAGGATCCTCAGAAAATTCTGAGGATGACGATCCTCAGAAAATTCTGAGGATCCTAAGAAAATTCTGAGGATGACGATGACGATCCTCAGAAAATTCTGAGGATAACGATCCTCAGAAATTTCTGAGGATGCTCAGAAAATTCTGAGGATCTTCAGAAAATTCTGAGGATGACGATCCTCAGAAAATTCTGGGGATCTTCGCAAAATTCTGAGGATGACGATCCTCAGAAAATTCTGAGGATCCTCAAAAAAAGCTGATGATTGTTCAGGGAAATCTGAAGGTTCCTCCGAAAATTTTGAGTGTTCCTTAGTAAATTTGGAGGAGTCTCCAGAATTGTTTGTTTGATAACCATCAAAAAGTTCTGATATATATATATATATAAATGAAATTATGCTAATCAAGGATCAGTTTTTGTTGCAACACATCAGCTACAAAGTCCGAGGATATTTTGTAGCCGATGTTTTCAGCGCAAACTGCGACTGTTTTCTGCGGATATCACCAGCGTCTCATCATAACCTTTCTAAGGATATCATCAGAAGTTTGTGAGGATTATCGGACCTGTCTGAGGATATCATCAGAATGGACTCATCGAAATTTCAGCAGAAATTTATCACGTTACCAGCCATAAACTCTGGGGATATCATCAGGATTTTCTGATACCAGCCCAGAGGATCAGCATATAGTTTCTCAGGATGTCACATGATATCATATCACCAAAGTTTTCGGAGGATAACATCAGAATTTCACTATAGGGACCGTTTTTTTCAAAATTTGAGAGCGGCAACACTTCAAACCGTTTGGCTTTGAAAGATTGGGGCGGTTGTCCTCAGACTTGTTTGTTCGTTATTGGTGCCCGCGTGCCAACATGAATATGCTGTTTCTTCATGAAGCGTTTGTTCGTTTGACTTTCCGGGATAATGATAATAACATTTAGTTGTGAGAATGCTGCTCAGGATCATCCAGCGGATAAGATGCTCAGGATCATCCAGCCGAGAAGCATGCTATATTGAGATTCCATTGCAACAAAATAAAACTTAAATGACTATATCAACGCAGATTGGCATATAGGAAAGTGAATATTTTTGTGATTGGGTCACTTCCAAACAGGCGATATGCAAATTTACAGTAATTTGTCAAAAAGGAAAACAGCAAATGTTGTTTTTCACTCTCCAAGCGCTCAAAACGCATATAGCGCAATCATTATCAGAAAATTGAATAAACCTTAAGCTCAGGAATGGCAAGATCTGACAATGTTTGCGGGTTGAATGTCCGGGCAAGGCCCTGCACATACCACCGGGAAAACCACTTGCTCAATATGCGTTTTCAACTTAGAATCATCGAAAATTAAGCGCAAAAACCTTCCATTTTGAGCTTTCATGTAGTCAAAACGCTTATTGAGGGTCCACCCTCAGAATATTCGCTAAAATTAGGGTTCACGAAATTCCTTATATATATATATCATCAACTGATTATAATCCATAGTTAACTACTTGTATTATCAGTTGATATATATATATATATCATCCATAGTTAATATATATATATATATATTTATATATATATATATCATCCATAGTTAATTATCAACTATATATATTTATATTGTTTTTACCCTCTGGTTATTTAACATAGCCACGGAACATGGCCCATGTATAGATGGTTTTCCTATTAAAAATTGTGATTTTCCATGGCTATGTAACAAATAACCAGATGGTATATCATCATATATCCCATTAAATGCCATTGAATCACCATTGAATCCCATTCAAACACCATTAATTGGTAAATAGCATAGGCAAATGTCTATTGTATAAGGGTTTTTCCACGGATTATATTGTTTTTAAGTATACTGTAATTAACCATACAATGTGGGGCCCCCAAACGTTATAAGTTGGTTTATAAGCCCCAGCAACTATAGTTATTTGCGTACCATAAACCATAGTGACATTGGAGTTATTTGCACCAACTTTGCTATCGAACGGGGGCCTCACTTTGTAGGGGTATCCAACGTTATGGTTGAATACATAGTTGATAATCAACTATGGATTATATATATATATATGGTTTTTAAGTATAATTAACCATAGTTATAAACCAACAAACTCACCTGGTAACGTTCCATCACAGGTGCGCGGGGGCGATGTGATCTTCGTGTTGCAGGTGGGGCCTGGCCTGGGGCCCCGTTCCATGGGGCCTCGTTCCATGGGGGAGCCCCAGGTGGTTCGTTTGTTTCATGGAAAATCCTATGAACATGGGAAAATCATGGGATATACCCTCTGGTAAATTAACATAACTATGGAAAATCACCATTTTACTATAAATGGTCATTTTCAATAGCTATGTTCGTAGTTATGAATGGTTATGAATGGGCTAGGTAAGTAGGGTTAATCCACTTATAACATATGTTTTTTCACTACTTGTAGGGTTATAACATGTTATAATCCACTTACTAACTGGGATGAACCACCATTTAGTTACCCTCTGGTAGTGACTAACATGGATATGCTGACAAAGGGTTTGATTTTCCCTTTAGCCAATCCAACGAACTGTGGGAAAATAATGGGATATACCCTCTGCCTAGGTCAATCTTAGATGGATAGAAAATGGCCATTTATTTATAGTGAGTTTTCCCATTAAACATGGTGATTTTCCATAGTTATGTTAGTTTACCAGAGGGTAGGTCAATCGGCTGGATGGGTAGAAACTAATCCTAACTAGTCTTTTGGTATCTGGCTGGGAATATCTACGTTCACCAGCAAAGAATTTGGTCCATTTTTTGCAGGCTATCTGGCTGATTGGCAATGCTGCTAATGACTAACAGTTTGCTATTGTATCAATGGCACCTTTAGTTCGTTGATTTACTTTTCTTAAAGATGGTTATTTTCCAGTTCGCAAACTGTTAGTTTACCAGAGGGTAACACTTCGACGCAAGACAACGCAACTTGGAAGATGACTTTCCACTGAAATTTGGCGATTTTCCAGGGTCGATTTCCGTTGATTTCGGGGAGACCTTTCCAGTGGATCATTTGACCATGCAGTGGTGAATGGAGCGCTCAAGGGAGCTAGGGGTATCCAACTTTATGAGTATGATACCAGGTCAATCTTACATGGATACTTTAATCCTAGCTAGTCTTTTGGCATTAATGGGAATATCTACGTTCACCAGCAAAGAATTTATTTTTTTGCAGGGTATCTAAGATTAGCGACGGATACATGCTTTATTGTTCTCATGATGACCAGTCTGATAATGATAATGGATACTTGCTATGATAATTATATTACAAATATGATTACTTTTTTTTTATCATGATGCTTGTTACTGTTGTCATATATATATAATATGTTTCACTTAGATCCCCAAATGGTGGGAAATACAAGTTGGTACCAACCCCCAGTTATAAGTTAGTTTATAAACCATAGTAACAAATAGAGATATCTACCATAAATCCTAGTGAAATTGGAGTTATGTTCACCAACTTGGCAAACTATGGGGCACCACCTTCCATATCCACTCTGGTAAACTAAGAGTTTACTATGGAAAGATCCTCCATGCTATTATATAATGGGTGTAATTCAACTAATTCAACTGCCATTTTCAATAGCTTGTTGTATTAAATTACCAGATGGTATATCCCTTTAATATTCCACAATAACTCACATTAGAATCCCATAAAATAACTATAAATTTCATCGAATCATCTGGGTTTTCCATGGTTTTCCATTAAATAAGGGCTATGTAAGGAAATATCCCCACAAAATATGGCCAAACATATGGTACTAACGTACCTCCATTTTAGGATCCTGAAATTCCCGTTGACCATAGGTATCCCATGTGCAAACCATGGTGCCGGTATATAAAAACCTATAAATTTCATTAAATGATCTGGGTTTTCCATGGTTGCCAGAGGGTATCATGAAATATGTCTTCGAGCTTCCAGGAACTGGCACATCCCAGTTGGAAACGCCATGGCTGTCACCTCTTGTTGGAGAAAACCATCTCCTTAACCCAGGTGCGGCCGAAAGAGTCACCGGTGATTTTATGGAGGTTTAATGGAGATATTTAACATGTTTTTTGGTAGAATAAATGGGGATTGGTTCTGGCGCTTTTAAAAAGTCCTTGTTGAATATGTTTTGAAGGTGATTTTACGATTTTATGATGAATTTACCATGTGATGAGGATTGAAGCATTTTTTCAGGGAATATCATGGGGATTTAATGGTGATATTTTATCTGGTTGGTGGTTTGGAACATGTTTTTTTTCCATTCAGTTGGGAATTTCACCATCCCAACTGACTTTCACACCATTTTTCAGAGGGGGAGGGCTCAACCACCAACCAGCCTACAATATTCACTAAACATCCTGTCATATCAGTTCTGTGGTGGTTGGTAGGTATACCACCAACCAGTTATGGAATACTCTCTGGTAAACATACAAAAAGCTATTGAACATGTCAATTTATAGTGGATTTACCCATTAATAGCATAGTGATTTTCAATAGCTTTTTGTATGTTTACCAGGCCGGGTATCATGAGATACAACGAAAAAACCAACGTTGTCAGAGACTTGGGTTGGTCTCGAGATGGGCTTCTCAGCCATCAAGTTTCGGGCTATGTGAAGGCAAAACCATATTGGGAGACTTTGAAACTGGTTGGTGGTTTGGAACATGAATGGATTATGACTTTCCATTCAGTTGGGAATCTCATCATCCCAACTGACTAATATGTTTATACCCTCTGGTTATTTAACATAGCCATGGAAAATGGTCCATAGATGGTTTACCTGGGTTTACCTATAAAAAATGATGATTTTCCATGGCTATGTTAGTCATAACCAGAGGGTATATATTTTTCAGAGGGGTTGAAACAACCAACCAGGAAAGTTTCCCAAGTCATAGGGATAGCCCCAACTTTGCTGGTCACGCAAATGGGGCACTTTCTGATCCTTTAGATGTGTGTTTTGATGTGTGTGTTGTGCATGTTTGGGCTCAAGACAGTGCTGAAAATCATGAAATGTTCAGGTGATTTTGCGGTTGACATCTCTGATTTTCCATCCCTGGATTTCACATTTGTCAACCCCGCTGATGAAAGAAGAGAATGCAGGGACCCGCTTGGAAGTCCAAAATGTTGATCTGTTTTCTCTCTCCGATTCCTGAAAAACATCCAAGTTATCCGTGAATATCAGTGATATCATCGGTGTTTCTGGGTGAAATGACCATCAGATGCCGTAGCAAAATCCCCAGGGCCTGTTGCTTCAAACACGGTTCAAACGCCGTCGGTGAAGCCGCCAAGCCGTGTTTTTTGGCTCCTCGATGGGTCTTCGATGGGATGGGAATCTATCCATGGGGGCACAAAAAACTGAGTTCAAATGATGGGACCATTACTACCCTCTGGTAAACATACAAACACCTATGGAAAGATCCACCATTTTTAATGGGAAAACTCACTATTTCTATATGGTCATTTTCAATAGTTATGTTAGTTTACCAGAGGGTAAATCACTACAGGATGGGGCCCCAGTTCGGAATCGCTAAGTTGGTGAACATAACTATTTGATAACAAGTTGGTGTATGATATTTATAACTATTAATTTAGATGGGGTTGTAAACCAACAAACATGACTGGGGGGGGGCCCACATTGTATGAATAGAACATCACCATGCTATTAATGGATAAATCAGCGAACTTTCGACTGGGCCATGTTCAATAGCTATGTATGTTTACCAGAGGGTATCAGGATTCAAATTATGGAACCAGTATGAAAGCGATTACATAGTGAGTGGTTAAGAAAATCCCAATTTGATACTAGGGACTACCACAGAGCTCACTATAATTCATTCGCTATTATTTGATAATGGGAAAATCCCATTTAAAATAGTAATTTGGACCACTATGATCCCAATTCATAGTGAGTGGGTAAGTTGAATCCTATTCTTTTTTTGCTGTGCGTTATTGATATTCACTCTTCGAAAAAAAATCCGTATTCACTCAATTGATACGTTTATTAAGAGCTTGATCTTCCGATAGTCACGAACTTCAAGTCATAGCTTGAGTGATATGGTTCTATCCCAATTATTAGTGGTTGACTTAAACCCCCATCTATTATCACTGAAAAAAACCACTGGAAATGATGGTTCAGAAGGAAAATCATCCCCCAATGGCCTTACCCTCTGGTAAACATACAAAAAACTATGGAAAATCACAATTTCTAATAAAGCAATCAACTATAAATGGGCCATTTTCAATAGCTATGTTAAATTACCAGAGGGTAATTCAGATTAGTGACATATTGCAATTTAGCTAGATAGAATATAACGATATTTAATGAATAGATAGAACCATATTATATTCTTTCAATAAGGTCATATCCCCATTATATTCCCATTGTATGGTAGAAGAATATTCCCAAAGATTGTACCAACTTTTTTCATAGTTAATATCCAACCAGATCGTGGGAATATGGTTCTATCATGTTTTACCATACAATGGGAATTAACTATGAAACCAACTTTCAACTGGTACAATCTTAAAACCATACCAGATATCCTTGAATGGTACAACGAGATAATGAACTTTGAGTTGGATATGAGCTATGAAACCATTGAACATATTTAATATTCAAACTAGATAGGTACTTAACATTGGCAGTCCTATAGATTCCTCATTTCCTATGGATTCCCTCAGCCTCATCTCTATTTCGTATGGATTTTCTGGGGGAAATCCATTGAGTCCTGACGCTGAGGCACCATGGCGTCCCATCACATGATGATGGGCCTCGCCGCGGCCGCTGGATTTCACCAAAATGCCAGGATTTTTCAGATGGTTGTTTATTATAAAAGTATCCTGAGAACTGGATGGATGATTTGGATATATGATGATCTATTGTGATATAGCAAAATATGTTCATAATATATATATATATATACATGTATATATATATATATAAGTATACATATATTATACACATATATATATATATATATAAGTGTATATAAATATATAAGTTACAACCACCTCACTGCGACGTCACTGGAAATGAAAGTCATACAGACAAATTAGTGATATGGTGAATCATTGCCGACTTGCCGAAGTTTACGGGTTGGTGAGCTGTGACTTACCCAGATTCATTGATTGAACGATTGCTTGATTTATTGAGAAATTGATAAAGAAATTGATTGACAAATCGATGAATGGTCATTGTGATGATTCAGTGATGATGGTTCTTGATGTGTTTTCACATTGAGGCTTTTCATCCTACCTTTCCACTGCAGTAGATCCCCTTGGTGATATGCCCAGTAGAGGTATAGGATCTAACATGCCATAAGCCACGAAGAATTGGGATTTGGATGTCCTGTTTTTGTGAGCACGTTTGAACTCCGTTTGAAGTTGCCTACCGCCAACGAATGCTCGGGGATGTTACCTGCAATTTCATTAAAGGCAATTGAAATTGCGCAGGCATAGGACCAGCAAGGTTCTGTAGAGTCATTTGTAACATGTATTCCAGCTAAGCAACAAAAAAACTGGATATCACGCTGACATTACGCAAAAAAATAAGTTTCACCCACATGTTTCTTTGGCCATTCAACGGAGTATGCAAACTATGCTAGTGTTTGTTGGTTGGAACTTCCAAAGTGATACCACAAGGTAACAAATCGAAGCAATGTTGCCACATACGCATTGCGCGCAGACTTTCTGTCCAATCATCAAAATGCAACATGTTTTTGCTTGGTTCATCAACCAGTTTTTTGGGTCGTCCATCCATTTTGGATGGTTTGCCACCAAACTTTTGCTGGCTAAAAGAACTTGTTTTGGTACAAGGTGCTGCCCCAGTTCGTTAGCTAATCTGCTTGAATCAACTAGGTGAACTATGGTTCATGATATATATATATATAATAATATATATATATATATATACATGTGATGGTGATATAGTGAATTAGTGTTGATATTATCAATAGTGATATATGATTGATATTATCTATATAGTGGATGGGTGTCATAGACCAACCAACATAACTGGGGGGAGGGCCGCAACTTGTAGGGTCCCCACAACACGCGGACTGCTTCAGTGGCCTCTAAGGCGGCAGTCTTGGCCTCCCGTCGCTGGTCGACCGAGCGAGGCAACGACGGCAACGACTCGTTTTTGTAAAAATCCAAGAGGTACTGGTTACTCAACCATGGAGGGTATTGAATGTACTATTCAAATATTGAATGTACTATTCAAATATTTACTGGAGGTATCCATGGTTGATAATAGTAATTCAAAATAGTTATCCGCATATGGTCTATGTTAATTTACTGGTGGGTAACCAAATGGTTGTTTGTTTTAGATACTACATATTTACTTAGCTATCTATGCTAACCATACAACCATATTTCGCATATCAATCACTGGTTGCTTAACCATGTATGAACCATATATTGACGGTAAGTAATTGGTTGGTAAGACAAAAACTATCATATTTTGACTTAAACAAAAAATCGTTTGTACATGTGGAATCCGTGTTTTGTTTCACTTCATTTGTTTGATGGACAAATCACCAGTTGTCTCACATCTACAATGTGGGGCCCCCTAGTTATAAGTTGGTTAACAAAAGCCCCAATAACTATAATTATAAGTACCATAAACCATAGTGACATTGGAGTTATTTGCACCAACTTAGCTATCGTAAACGGGGCCCCCACTTTGTAGCGAGTGTTTGGTTTTTAGGAAAAAGCAACTCAAAAAAACATCCACCGTGGATGATCATACATATAGTCACTCATGATCAATGGCCATGCTGGCCAGGATCCGACTTTTTGGAGGTACCGATTCCATAGAAATATTAGGCCTATTTGTTAGGCCTAAATTTCAGGGAATATAGCCACAATTCATATGGCCTAACATATGGTACGTTTACGTACCTCCATATGTCTAGGATCCTGTAATTCCCATTGAAATGATCATATAGTCATCAGCGGACAAGAACTAGTGATGTCTTGTTGAATTGTGGATGTTTGTTTTGGAGATAAAAAATTGATCAGTTGGTGGAACAATTGTATCCTGCACAGCACCCTGCACAGCACCTTTGCCAGACTTCGCCATCGCAGTCTGGACAGCACCCTGAAGAGCACCCTGCACAGCACCCTGCACAGCACCTTTGCCAGACTTCGCCACCGCAGTCTGGACAGCACCCTGAAGAGCACCCTGCAGAGCACCCTGCACAGCACCTTTGCCAGACTTCGCAACCGCAGTCTGGACAACACCCTGCACAGCACCTTTGCCAGACTTCGCCACCGCAGTCTGGACAGCACCCTGCACAGCACCTTTGCCAGACTTTGGCGCAAAAGTTCGCCACCGAAGACCCCACCTTTGAGAAGTAAGAACCCCTATAGCTTGCCAGCTATCTGGGGAAAAAGAGAAATAAAAGGTGGAGGGACCATAAAATGAGTGCACAGAGTAAAAAAAACACATTTTTTTGAAACCTAAGGAGTGTTTGAAGCACTATGCCTCTCGTATGGGCCATGATTGGTTTCAAAATCTTTCAGAAGACCTTGCAGGAACTCAGGGCCTTGGTGAGTTTGACAATACACCAACAATGCAACTGGAAGAGCTCATGAAACAAACTGTGATGTCCACCGAAGGACGCTTTGTACCATGCATTGTGAAAATTATTGACTGACATTTTTTTATTTTCCCCAAAATATTTTGGTTGTTGTCCCTGCCCCTAAAGGAAGCCAAAAATCGTACTTTTAGATTTAGATTAACAATTAGTTTAGATTGGATTTAAGTTAAGTTTTAGATTTACAATAAGTTTAGGCTTAGATTAAATATTGAGGTTTGATTTAGATTAGATTTAGACTTTGATTTTTGGGTTTGGATGAAATTTGACTGAAATTTATTGTGTATTGAGATTAGGTTTAGATTCAGATTTAGATTAGATTGGATTGGGTTTACATTAGGTTTGAATTTAGATAAATCTAACATTGGATTTTATATTAGATGTACATTAGTTTCAGGTTTATTTTATATTGAACATGCAGAGAGACTATGTTCCAACTTTTACTCAGCTGAGGTCAAAATGAAAGCTTGGTTTTGTATCAACGACAGCTTCAGAACTTTGATACATGGGTGGCCCGTTCTAGCAGCAGCTGTGCTTGCGATTTGCGATTCTTGAACTTGAAGGCGAAGACGTTGCTTGGTTTTTCTGATTGTTCAGGATTTCTGTAGAAGTAAACTGGACATTGTAAGTTGTCATCAGCTGATAATACATGGTTTTTGAAAAAACAACAACGCGCTTCTGAAAAAATACACTCTGATCCCACTTCAAGTCCCTTTTCCATGTTTGGCATAACTGTTTAACAATCTCCATATTTAACATTCAATTGTGTACCAGTAGTACCGCACAAGGCGGTGGCGGAAGTTTCAAAAATAGAAAACCTATAGGAGAGCTTGGTTGTTGTGAATCCGGGATGGCAGAGCGAAGCCACTGATGGACTGAAAGGTGCTTGATCTCTCTCACTCTTTCTCTCTCTTTCTCTGACTATCTACCTACCTACCTATCTGTTTTCTATGTATCTATCTATCTATCGATCTTTCTAGTGTAGTGTAATGTAGTGTAGTGTAATTTAGTGTAGCGGTGTGTAGTGGAGTGTAGTGGAGTGTATGTAGTTCTGTAGTTGTAGTTGTAGTGTTGTGGAGTGTAGTGTAGTGTAATGTACTGTAGTGTATAAAGTGTATAGTGTAGTGTAATGTAGTGTAGTGGAGTGTATAGTGTAGTGTAATGTAGTGTAGTGTAGTGGAGTGTAGTGTAATGTGGCGTAGCGTACTGTAATTGAATGTAGTGGAGTGTAGTGGAGTGTAGTTGTGTAGTTCTGCAGTTGTAGTTGTAGTGTTGTGGAGTGCAGTGTAGTGTAATGTACTGTAGTGTAGTGGAGTGTATAGTGTAGTGTAATGACCCGAAGCGAAGCGAAGCGACATCTGAACCTCCAAAAGTGGTCCGATCCCCTAGTGTTTTGTACATTTTGACTTCGAAATGTGCTTCGCGCCACAACGGCGTGCACTTTTTCGACATCTGAACCTCCAAAAGTGGCGCGAACATGTGGTGTTTTGTACATTTTGACTTGGAAATGTGCTTCGCGCCACAACGGCGTGGACTTTTTCGACATCTCAACTTCCAAAAGTGGTCCGGAGCTGGTGTGTTTTGTACATTTTGACTTCGAAATGTGCTTCGCGCCACAACGGCGTGGACTTTTTCGACATCTCAACTTCCAAAAGTGGTCCGGAGCTGGTGTGTTTTGTACATTTTGACTTGCAAATGTGCTTCGCGCCACAACGGCGTGCACTTTTTCAACATCTCAACTTCCAAAAGTGGTCCGGAGCTGGTGTGTTTTGTACATTTTGACTTGCAAATGTGCTTCGCGCCACAATGGCGTGCACTTTTTCATCTCTCATCTGGCCAGCTGGCTCCGCACCCGTCGCTTTAGCGAGCCTACTTTTCGACCCTCCGGAGCCCCAAACCATTGGAAAAACACAGTGTTTCGCGACTTTCCTACCTTTTCGCGCATCTGCAGCTTCTTTCTTCTGACTCTTTCTCTTCTACTCTTCTCTCTTCTAATCTTTCTCTTCTCTCTGCCTCTGCCCGTATTCTGCTTTTCATCTGTCCGTATTGACGGAAGATTGGCTTCTAAACTTCCTTCGATTACATTTGTTTTTCAAAAAATGATTTCTCACATTGTAACTAAGATTGAAGCTTTTGAAGCAGATGATGATCAAGAAGAGCAGGAAGAAGGAGAAATGGAGAGAAAAGTCAAGCCTACCAAGAACAAGGTGTTGTCAAAATCAGAACTGTACAAAGCATACGCTGGGAAGGGTCCAACACGAATGGTGGCAGAATTTCTCATTTCCGAGCCAGAGCTGAAGTCCCATGCTGTACTTGTCACAGAGATCTCCGCGCCCTTGGAATCTAAATACGTATCTGACATTGAAGCACAGCAAGATTTTCAGTCCATGCGAAGATGGAATGTACTTAGATCATCAGGACAATCATGGTGGGAAACGGGAAAAGAAATTGTGGCTCGCTCCTTTTCTGCAGACCTGTCAGAGAAGCTTGGTATCTCCCCCCTCTCAAACCACCTTTGACATTTGATCCTGAGCAAATTTGGATGGTTGAATCTTGGCCTTTGCCCTTGGAACATTGGTTCTTGTTGCTGCTTAGCCCTCAAAAAACCCTGCTTTTGGTTGTATCAGTAATAATTTGAATAATCACTAGTTGGATGGGCCCCCCCAGTCATAAGTTGGTTTATAAACCATTATAACCCCCATTAGCTATAGTTATATCTACCATAAACCATGGTTAAACCACTTATGAACCAACTGAACGCTATCTTGGGGGCCCCACCCTGTAGTTGGATGGATGATTATTATTATGGATCAACCCAATAATGACTAGTTTGGTGGTTTGGAACATGTTTTATGACTTTCCATTCAGCTGGGAATTTCATCACCCCAACTGACTATATATCGTATTTTTCAGAAGGGGTAGGTCAACCACCAACCAGATGACATTATATTCATAGTTACTCTCTGGTAAACTAACGGTTTGTGAACTAGAAAATCACTATTTTTATAGGTAAATCATCTATAAATGGTACATTTTCCATAGCCGTCATACCACCAAGCAGTGTATATTATATATTAATATATATCCTATATCATCTATAAGAAACCATATATCATATATTATGATCCCATTTAACTATTAGAAACCAGCATCTTTCAACCAGACGACGTTTTTCAGGAACGCTTCCAACCCACCTGCTGCAGGTCGTCCCGGCTGCCGTCGCCTTGGGCCGCCGTTGGCTTCGTGCGAAGTGAGACTTTGGGGTACCTTGGCAGCGGCGCAGCGGCACTGCGACCTGAGGTGATGTAAACATAGAAAAACTATGGAAGGATCCACCATTTTTTGTGGGTATAATTCAACTAATAGAATAGAATATATATATATATCCCATCATGTATATATATACATATATATATCCCATCATGTATATATATATATATCCCATCAGGGTTTTGTTTGGGGGTGGTACCCTCTGGTTATTTAACATAGCCATGGAAAATGGCCCATTTATAGATGGTTTACCTGGGTTTACCTATTGAAAATTGTGATTTTCCATGGCTATGTTAGTCATAACCAGAGGGTATTTGATTAGGGATCCGGCCTGGTAAACGTTTACAAAAAAACTATGGAAAGATCCACCATTTTTAATGGGTAAATCAACTATTTCTATGGGCAATTTTCAATAGCTACGTTAGTTTACCGGAGGGTAACCTGCAATTTGGGACATGATTTTGCCGATGGTGATTTGTTGGAGATGGTCTATGGTTTTTACGGATGGCTTAGGGTTTATCACATTGTGGTTTTGCTCCAAAAATTGGACTGTACGCTTTACAAAAAGTTGCCCTTGAGCCTTGAGCTGGAAAATACGGTGACAATCCTTGGAGTTGGTAGCACACCGTTTTCAGTCAAGCCCATAGATTTGTTTTTACAAGTTTGGTGTCGGCGATACATATTATCATCAACTTGATTCAAGCAAAGTATGTAAATCGGGATCCAACACAATTCTGAAATACCAGCAACATTTTGATTCCAACATGTAGTGATCAAGTACCAAGCCGGGTTTCGATTGGGTGCACTTTCATACAATGGGATGGAAACATATCCAATGAATATCCAATTATATGGCTGTTTCCTAAAATGAGAGTACCCCCTAAGCATCCATTTGATTTTCGGAGTTTCCATTGTATACCATCCATAAAATGGGGATCCTCTATTTAAATATCCCATTATTAACCCTCTGGTAAACATACAAAAAGCCATCGAACATTGCCATGCATTGCCATTGAGTTCGTTGATTTACCCATTAAGAATCATAAATATTTTCCTTAGTTTTTTGTAAACGTTTACCAGAAGCTAATCCAACCTTTTAAGTTCTTGGCTTTCCCCCCTTCTCTGTGAGTTTCCATTGTAAACCATCCATAAAATGGGGATCCCACTAAATTTACCATCGAAAAATCCCACTGATTGACCTCATTTACCCATGAATAGCATGGTGGATTTATCCTATAGTTTTTGGTTAATTTACCGGATTTACCCATGAAAAATCCCACTAATTTACCTGATTTACCCATTCAAAATGGCTGATGTATGATACCCTCTGGTAATGACATTCACAGTTTGCTTTTGAAAAATATGGCCCATTTATAGTTAATATCCCATAGGATCCATGTATGGTATATATGGTAACATTTACCATCAATATACCCCCAATGTTAGCATATATACCATACATGGATCCTATGGGTATATGTTCAAATACCCATTCAAAGTGGTGGATCTTTCGCACGAAAAATGGATCTTTTCCCATGGTTTTTTTCTACCCGCGGCGAATCCTTCACGACGAGGTCCAGGTGGCACTCGGGGACGGTCCCCAGAGGTATTGGCCGGAAATCCTGGACATCATCCGAGGCAAAAAATGGTGGGTTTTTCCGGACTTAGCATGGGATCATGGGAATATCATTAATGGACATGGAATGGTATATATGGTATATAATTATGAATATAATATGGTATATATGGTATATATCATATATGATTATGAAGCACTATTTTTGGGAATATATGGTATATATATGGTATATATATATATATATATTATGGGTAATTTTGATCACGACCGAAGCCTGTTCTCCCTCACCATAATCATAGTTAGTACATCCCCTTTTATGGCCCGACAATACAGGTCAGTGAAATATTATGGCCTTTACCCAGATATATGGTTTATGTTTTTATAAATAATTGATGGGATCGTAGGACTTAGCATGGGATCATTGGTATTCCCATATATTCCATATATATATATTTACATATATATATATATACATATATTTATATACATATATATATATATATTCCATTATATCATATGGAATATGAATGGAAGATGTTCCATTTTCATGGGAATTAAAATGGGGATACAATTTGTTATTAATGGAATATCAATGGGAATATCATTAATGGAATATATAGATATAAATGATGGACTATATAATGGGAATATCATGGGGATACAATGGAATATGTTCATGAGATATGATTGGTCTTACCCTCCGGTGATAGGAGCTGTATTTTGTATTTTGTGTTGTTCAATGAGGCAAAATATCAGATTCATTGTGATTTCGCATGATTTATGATGATTTGGCATGATTTATGGAAATCGGGCGTATCCTCTAGTAATTGAATTTTGCTATTGGATTCATTTTTGAGGATTTTTGAACATATTATTGTTAAATCACCATGAAATATCCCATTATATCCCCATTACCCGCTATTGAAAATGCTGATTTCGTTCATTGATGTTCCCTGATTTACCTATTCAAAATTGTGATCTTCCATAGCTATGTTTTACCAGCGGGTATTCAATGGTGCAACATATTGGATGAATTTTCGATAGTGAAAACATATCATTGCTGAATGATACTGAGGAAAAGTGGGCGGTTGAATGGGGTCAAAATGTTTCATAACCATCAATTAGAGGAGTGTTACGGAGTCAAAACACAAACAAAGATATGAACATATACTGGTTGGTGTTTTTCCATATATTGGGAATAATAATCCCAACTGACTAACATATTTCCGAGGGGTTGAAACAACCGAACCAGTATAACATATTCCCCTGTTGGTGAGTGATTGCTATTTTATGGGGATTTAGCCACCTAAATATTGGAGTTATTGTACAATGTGGGGCCCCCTAGTTATAAGTTGGTTTGTAAGCCCCAATAACTATAGTTATAAGTACCATAAACCATAGTTATTGGAGTTATAAACCAACTTAGATATCTTGGGGGCCCCACTTTGTAGAACATTTGGAAACATGTTGATAAATGACTATGACTACACTTTGGAAACTTTGTAGAACACTTTGGAAACTTTTGATAAATGATTGTTGATTGGCTATGACTTGGAGGTTGTACTGCCTGTAGGACTTTTCATATACTATAGTTCTGGGTAAATTATAACGGACTTACTGTGACCTCACTGGAATCATGGTTAGTAAGGGAAATCATCCCCAAATGGCCTTAATTCAGGTTAGTGAATTATTAAAATTTATCCAGATATACTATAGTTGGCAGGATGCCTATTGAACCAGTATTTGCCAAACAACTTGGGTGATGTTCGAATGGGCACAAAACATTTCCTGCTTGCAGTCGTGACTACGCTCGTCCTTGAGCAATCTAAACTGGCTGCGGAAAATCTTCGGAGTGCAGATGATTCTGCTACCAACAATGATCATTGCATGGTAGTTTTCCTAAAGCCAGCTTTGATGGTTGGAGTGTAGACTACCAGTTGAAATCCAAGTGTGTTTGATGTTCCAATCCTTATGTTTAATGGTGTAAAAAAAGCATGTGTTATATGTTAAGATGATGACTATCCCAATGTCCGAAAAGTTTTGATGGTGAAATCATCCTTTGCGATCATTTTCGGGGTAGGATCCGAATTGTTGATCGTTAACTGTATGAACGTTCGATCATATTTGGAGGTTTCCTAAGTCATGGGGGTACCCCCAGTTCTCATCCATATTTATAGCTTGGATTTTCCGTTAAACCATCGGAATTGGCGTACCCCCAATGTCAAGAAGCCTCCATTTTGATGTGCTAAGCCGGGCGGTTCAGACTCGCCAAGGCCGCTGAAGCCGAGAAGTCGCGGCTCTCGCAAGCTTGGCGGTCGCCGTCTCTTGGAAGCATTGGACATTGGGGATATCCTACCTGGTGGACCTACTTAGTAGGCTACAGGATGGGGCCCCCCAGTGATGTGAACGTTGGTTTATAAACCATGAAATAACCCCCATTAACTAGTTCGTTATATCTACCATAAACCATTGTAAAACCACTTATAAACCAACTTAGCTATCTTGGGGGCCCCACCCTGTACCCTCTGGTAAACTAACAGAACTGTGGAAAGATCCACCATTTTTAATTAAATGGCAATTTTCAATAGCTATTTTGACATAACCAGAGGGTATATCCCTACTTAGATGGGCCATAGGAAAAAACGCGATTCCTGTAGAAACTGGGGTTAAACCAGCAAAAAAAAACAATAGAATAATCCATTTACTAAGTAGTTAACTAACTCCATGGCCCATCTAAGTACAGGCTGGTGCCCATTGCGTTCGTGAGTTCGCGATTCGTTGGTGCAAATGTGTGTCCAATGTCACAGGCTGGTTTTTGTGGGCGATATATCGAACTAGTTTTCATGGGATTATTGATTATAATCCATTTATAACTGGATGATTTATAACCATCACCAAAAAACACTACCCTTTGGTAAACATACAAAAACCCATTTTATGGGATTCTAAGCCATTTATAACTGGAGGAGGGACCACCTTGTAGGAAGAAGCATTGGATTTGCCTTTCTGGATTATCTTGCAGAAGTATCCCATATGTCCACATGTTTCCACTTTCCACATTTCCATTTCTTATACTCGGCGAACTACCCACGGATCGTGTAGGCCGAGTAGGCTTCATCCACAAAAAATCTACTTACTAAGTGGGATCATCCACCAAGTGTCATTGGGATTCCACCCTCAAATCATCTACCCGGCCTGGTTTTTACATACAAAAAGCTATTGAAAATGGCCATAGAAATAGTGGATTTACCCAGTAATAGCATGGTGATTTTCCATAGTTAGGTTAATTTACCAGAGGGTAAGATTGGCCATGAGCAATGATGGTCAAAGTACCCTTTGGTAATGACAAACAGTTTGCGAACTGGAGAATTGCAACCCCTATCATTGTCTCAAGCAGTTGATTGAGCCATTAATAATATCCATGTTATCCTCTGGTAAACTAACATAAATATGGAAAGATCCATCATTTTTTAATGGGAAAACTCACGAACTATAGCTGGCCATGTTCAATAGCTGTATGTTTGTCATTACCAGAGGGTATATAGATTACCAGAGGGTATACATCACCTATGATTTTCCCATTTTAATAGGAAATTCGATGAAATATACCAATCGTTTGGGAAATTCTATTAAACCTCCATGAAATCCCATTGAATCACCATCATATATCCCATTAAAACACCATTATAACGGCTATACCAGCTGGTTTTTTGGAGACTGGGAAAAAATGGTTTCTAGTCCATGTTTTCAACGGCTGCAAATCAACCAGGGGTGTATCTTTCAAGCATGAAATTTCCGGATACAAATGGGAAGAATGAGACAACCCCCACATAGGTTTATGATATGTTTATGATTGGCTTTGCCCCTGAAAGGGATTCTTGCCCCGAAGGCTTGGTACATGGGATAGTATGGGTAAATGTGTCTACCACATCAATTGGTAACATTTATTGGGATATATACCCTCTGGTAAACTAACATAACTATAGAAAATCATGTGTTTTTAATGGGTAAATCCACTATTTCTATGGCCATGTTCAATAGCTTTTTGTATGTTTACCAGAGGGCAACCACCAGTGTGATATGGCTGTGTCTGAAGATGGGTATACCGTACAATTTGCATCTCAGTGAGTGAGTAAGAAGCATTTGCACCCAGTTCTATGTGGCATATCCCCCAGTGTTTGTGCTTGGGCAAGGTTTAATCATCAAAAATGTACTTTTGGTTTAATAATGAAAGGTAGGGATTTTGCCAAATTGAACCAATATATCATGATATATCAGATATCATCAAAAAAGGTAATTGACATTGGGGTATGCCCCGCAAAGGGCGTCTTAATAGGGCAAATGATGATTCAGTAATGCAGGTAAAACGACAATAAACCATCCCCCAAATCACCATCAATAGGTGGTATAAACCCTTCCCATTTCATTAACCCATTAATCATATTCCACTTTATTCAATCATCATTCATTCATATCCCATGAATAAGGCATCAAGAATACTTGGTGGATCATCCCACATTAATCATCTGGTTGGTGGTTTGGAACAGGATTTTTATTTTTCCATATATTGGGAATTCCATCATCCCAACTGACGAACTCATATTTTTCAGAGGGGTAGGGCTCTATCACCAACCATATATATATATACACATATCACATATCATATAAACATAAATATATATATATATATATCCCACAACAAACATATCCAACATTAATCATCTCCCGAGTTAAGTTTGGCCCTTTTACTGGTGCAGGACCGACGACATCGAGGATTTCATACGTCAAGGTTTTCGACCAAAAGCAGCGTTTTTTTCTGGTGTCGTCAAGGTTTTGTGTAGCCATGAACCATTAACTGATTACCCATTGAACATCTTCTTTTACATGGTAGCTTACTGTATTTAGATGTATTTCTTACAATAATTGGGAGGCACAACTGGATGAAATACTCTCTGGTAATTCAACATAGCTATTGAAAATGGCCCATAGAAATAGTTGATTTACCCATCAAAAATGGTGATTTTCCACAGTTATGTTTGTTTACCGGAGGGTAACCCTTAACTCATTAATCGGACTGGTTGGTGGTTTGGAACATGAATGGATTATGACTTTCCAGAAACAGTTGGGAATCTCATCATCCCAACTGACTATGACTCATATTTTTTCAGATGGGTTGGTATACTCAACCACCAACCAGTGGATATACAAGCAAGAATTTATATGGAAATTGTCGCCAAAAGAGCCATAGAGAGGTCAATTTGGTGGTCAGAGTTTCCACGACTTTGCACGAGTTTGACCCAGAGATGCCCACCTGGGAGATATCAAGTGAATCAATGGACTGGGAAAAGAAGTCGGTCATTCCGCATGATTCACATTAATGTAACCTGATTAACTTGATTATCATATGATATATGTAACCTTGGATTGTGAAATCATTACATGACCAGATTATCATATGTCTCTTGGATTTATGAAATGAAATAACCATTATAGCTTGGAATAACCATTATAACTTGGATTTATGAAATGAAATAGGCATACTAAAATTCTAAAACATTGCCCCATCCATTATGAAACCATGGTATGGGATACACACACAGTTATACTAGTCATTATGATTTGCCAATAAACATGTTTCCTGCGGTGTGTTTGTCTACAATTCATGCACAAAATAAGTTAAGGGACATGTCTTGTATGAGTTTAAAAAACCGCCTAAAACGGATGATCTACAATTGAACCCACCAAAATTGGTGGGTTGTTGGGTACCGCATCCTGCCCCATCACCATTGAATATACATCCTGCCCCCACCTGCAAAACCAGTGAAAAACTCATCCTGGTTCTGAAGTAGGTACCCCAAAATCCATGGTTAATCAATGAGAGGATGTGTGATATACCCCAACAGGTCTTGCTTTCCATGACTTTCTCTCCGTCTCTGGTGTGTTTGGAGCCTGATAAATGAGTAGATATGCCACCCTCAACATGAAGTAACCAATCAAAAATAATGTATATTACCCTCCGGTAATTTAACATAGCTATTGAAAATTGCCCATTTATAGATGATTTACCTAGTAAAAATGTTGATTTAAAAAAACATATGTTAGATTACCAGAGGGTACTATAAATAAAATTCAAACATCAAACATCAGAATTCAACTGATTATAAACCCGTCAAAAACTTGGTGAATGCGAAAATGGGCTTTTTTTCCGGCCTTGAGAGGTCCCTTGTACCAGCGACTTCTTCTCATTTGTCCTGCTCCTGCCATAGCGGAGTGGATGGACAAGGCTCAGGCCTCTCTGAGGGGTGGCATCCAGATGCCGTAAATCATTTCGAAATGGTGAAGAGGGGTCGCCATGTTTGATTGATGCCAATTACTTATTGAAAACATTGGTAATTGAATGTGGCGAATACCCTTTAGATTGGTAATTTTCTAAACATTGCTCTAATTATGATTGGTTAATTGAATCACTTTTCTAAAGTTTCTGAAGGGTATTGCAAAATTACTTGTTGAAAAGTGATTCAATGACATTCCAAAAATTATTGAATATTAATCCCATCAAGTCGAAAAATTATGTGGAAATTCCCCACTAAACCATGGTTTCGTTTAGGGGGTGTTTAATATTAGCAGGAAGGAATTAATATTCAATAATTTGGGTTCCATGAACATTATTAGAACAATATATTATATTGAAAAGTTATTCAATAACATCAATAACTAATTAAATTATTGAGTATGAATATGATTGTTCCAAACATTATTATCCCATCATTAACAATGATATTATTAACTTTTTAATATCATCCAAGATGATGTTATTCAGTAATGTTGTTCCATCCAAATAATAACAATAAGTTCTAATGATGTTTTTTGTTTGATGGATTTGGATTTCCGGTGTCCATCGATGTCAGATGCTCCAGGCGATTGCCGTCCGGATCCTCATGGGGCAGTGGGCAACATCCCGGCAGGGATCATTCTGACTAGGGATATGCCTAGTAAATGGATCTGGGTAAATTTGATCACGACCTCACTGTTCTCCCATACCCTGGAATCATGTTAATAAGGGGAATCATCCCCAAATGGCCATAATTCAGGTTAGTGAAATATCATAATTTTACCCAGATGGATGTAAATGGGGATAGAACCATGGAACCTACCACTTTACTGTTATGAAACGGAGTTAGAATGGGAAGAAATGGTTTTTTCTAATCATGGCAACCCCCGATGTTGAGCACCCCGTGGGCTGTTCATTGCGGCGGGACCCATTTTTCGTAGCAAATCATCCCTGAAAAAGCGGGGCACGCAATGCGTTTTTGATCACAGGCTCACCCTCTGGTAAACTTACATAGCTACGAAAAATCACCATTGTTTTATAGGTGAATCAACTATAAATGGACCATGTTCAATAGCTACTGTTAGTTTACTGGAGAGTATCAATCCGGAATTGACATAATTTGGACATAGTACGGAAGGCAAACCAGTCCTCCGCAGACCTAGCGCGGCCATTGATTTAGAGTGCGGCACTTGAAACAAATCATAAAGTTGGTCTTGTATTGAGCTTCCCCTTTTTTGTTTTTTAATGCCCAAGCCTGTACTGCCCAACTGTTTTGGCATCCAGCAGTTGGCTCATTGCTAGCCCAGGAGCAGTTGAGAGTTGGCACCATTCTTCCTCAAGAGATGGAAGAGCAGGCAGCGCTTGGCGTGATTGGAAGATCTTGGAAGAGATGAGAGATCACAGAGACGGATGGGATAAGCTTAGGTTGGATTACCCGAGAATCAAACATGGCAATTAATGGATGTCCTATTTAAATCCCATTTAGAACCTCTATTTATCGTATTAAAAACAGTTGGATTTTCCAGCAAGCCATGTAAAAGATGACAGGGTTTAGGGTATATTGGAGTCGATTAGATTCGATTGGATTCGATTTATGCCATTTTGTATAAAACCACCATGAAATTCCATAAAAAAACACCATAAACCTACCATACAATCCCACTAAACCCCATCATGGTGTTACTTTGATTGGATTAACCCAGTCATACCCAGTCAGTCCCAACGGGTCCTTGGGGGATGAGTAAAAATAATCAATCCATCAAATGATACCTCGGGGTGGGCCAGCGAAAAAAAGATCACAAAATCACCAATTTGGGATGGTTTATCAGGGAAATTCCCATTAAAATGGATGATAACTAGGGGTACCACCATTTATGGAATATGATGTGGATGGTTGCGAAATCTATGGAAAAAAAACTATAGAAAATCTAGTGATGATTGGGATAATGAACTACTAGTGAATTTATAATTTTCCTGCGCAATCTGATTTGGATGGGCCAGCGAAATCCTGAACGACCTTGGATGGTTGACCTTGGATGGTTGGAACCATATAAATAATGGGATGTTTACCACCGTTTCCAACTGGTGATTCGGATTTCGCTGGCCCATCCACCGTATGGATGAACAGATAAACCCATGACTAGTTCGGAGATGTTCGGATAAAACAAAAAGCAAGGGATTACCATAAACCATTGAGCCAATATTGAATCCCTAGTGTTAATGATGAGTCATCATTCTTCCTATCGTAATTCCTATTGTTGATTTCCCCAACAATTTATACATCACATGGCAATGCAACTTGACCATGGCAAATATGACTAGGTCAACCAACTGGATGGGTAGTTTAATCCTTGAATATGTTGCTGTAAATAGGGATGGGTAGAAACTAATCCTGAATAGTCTTTTGCAATAGGAATATCTACGTTCACCAGCTAAGAATTTTATTTCTTGCAGGGTGTCTGGCTGATTGGCAATGATGACTGCTGGCTTGGCACATGAACCATGAATGCTCGTGACTAAAACGACTTTCGAAGATTCATTGCTGGGCTTACCCTCTGGTAATTTAACATAGCTATTGAAAATGGCCATAGAAATAGTGGATTTTCCCATTAAACATGGTGATTTTCCATAGCTATGTTAGTTTACCAGGCCGAGTATGACACATGGGTGAATCAGTGCTGGAAAAAAGAACTCAATCCATTGGTGAATCATCATTTTTCCTGTGATTCAATGAGAATGCCGATTTTTGGGGGGTATACTACCCTTTGGTAAACTAACATAATAGTGGGATTTACCAATATGGTAGATGATCATAGTTGGATTAGATCATTATTTCATAGATAGATTATGATTTATGATGGATACCCTCTGGTAAACTAACATAACTGTTGGAAAATCACAATTTTTAATGGGTAGATCAACTATAAATGGCCATTTTCAATAGCTTTTTGTATGTTTACCAGAGGGTAATAAGTGGGTTATATAACCACAGTTTTTTGGGGGGTTACGTCCCAAGTTATGGAGCTTAAAATCCCATAGTGATACAGTTTTACCTTAGTTATAAATATAAATAATACCCCCATGAATAATCACAACTCATTAGTTATATATCCATGATTATACCCATTAGTTATACACATATATATACATAGAATTATCACTTCACCTTTAATATAGTTATATGATGTTATATGTTCAGAACCACATCCAAGACGTGCGCAACTGTTGATGTGGCGCACCTTTCCACTTCGACGAATGCACTTATCTGCCAGATGTCCAAGCGCATTTACCACTTGTACTTGTTGGGGACCTGGAGGGACTCCTGGAGACTCCTGGAGAGACCTGGGACCCAGCGATTTGGCAGATTGAAATTGCTTTCGTTAAATTTTGGTGATCTGATTGAACCTCTACAGAAATTAGTAGATATATATATATAATATATATATATAAATGGAATATCCCCACTAAAAATATGCTATGACATATTGTTTATATGGATTATAAAACCATTGCCAATCAAATCAGCCAGATACCCTGCAAGAAATGACAAAAACTGGTGGCTGGTGAGTAGATATTCCATGATATTCCTATTGCAAAAGATTATTCAGGATTAGTTTCTGCCCATCCCTATTTATAGCAACAGATCCTATCAGGATTAGTTTCTACCCATCCAGTTGGTTGACCTAGTCATATGTGCCATTGTCAGAACTGTGAAAAAAAAGGATATTTTGGATGATATACCCTCTGGTAAACTAACATAACTATGGAAAGATCCACCATTTCTAATAGGTAAATCCACTATTTCTATGGCCATGTTCAATAGCTTTTTGTATGCTTACCAGAGGGTAACAATGATCATAAAACTTGGGCTATTTGTTTTATCAAATCCTGTTGGATCTGATATTCCCACGGTGGATGGTAAAAAAACCACGTTTGGATCTGATATACCCAACTTGGTTATGACTAACATAGCCATGGTTAAGCCATGGCCCATAGAAATAGATGGTTTACCGAACTTAAAAATGCTGGATCTTTCCATGGCTATGTTAGTCATAACCAGATGGTACCCAACTTGGTTGTCGAACATGGTGCCCAAGGAATGTCCCTCGATTTATGGAGGTTTTGTTCTGGGAAAATCATCGATAAAAACCATCTGGTTATGACTAACATAGCCATGGAAAGATCCACCATTTTTCATAGGTAAGGCATCTATTTCGATTGGGGCCATCGAAAAATCATGGCGAACTGTGAATGTCATAACCAGAGGGTAAATCTCCATATTTCCATATTTTCTAATAGGTAAACTATGTACAAATGGGTCATGTTCCATGGCTATGTTAGTCACAACCAGAGGGTAAATGGGGGAGTTTCAATTGAAGCCTTGTCCCTTGCCTCCTCTGACAGGAGGTTAACTGGACATATGGAGAACTGATAAGAATTGATATTGTCACCACAAAAGTCATCAAAAGTCATCATCATGGGGGATGATTTATGGAATATGATATTGGATACAACCAACTTGATACGATATGTGGGTTTGAACATAAATGTTGGCAACCAAATATGGGGATTTGCTGAAACCTTTGAGGATAATGTTGCAACTTGCCGTATTGCCATAGGGGTTAAATCCCCGTTTTGTTTCACATACCCAACCCATATATTGGTTAAATATCCTCATATTCCCATAGGCTGAGTTAAATCTTTATCACAAAATCCTGCATCATATGTTCCCCTCATCAAAAATCAATGGCCATTTCAGGATCCGATTTATTGGAGGTACCTACCATAGAAAAAAGGCCTATTTTTTAGGCCTAAATTTCAGGGAATATCCCCAGAAAATATGGCCAAACATATGGTACTAACGTACCTCCATCAATTGGATCCTGAAATTCCCCTCATCAATAAGGTTGCAATTTACCATCTGGTTATTTAACATAGCCATGGAAAATCCCCATTTTTAAGTTCGGTAAACCATCTATAAATGGGCCATCTATACCATGGCTATGTTAAATAACCAGAGGGTAAATCCAAATCCAATTTTAGACTCCAGGAATCAACATAGTACTTCCAGGACTATGAGATCAACAGCTATTCCTACTTAGATGGGCCATGGAGTTAGTTAACAAAACTAGATAGTAAATGGCTTATTTCATTGGGATTTTTTGGTGGTTATAACTCCAGTTACTAACTAGTTTTCCCTAACTCCATGGCCCATCCAAGTACCATATATTACTACCACATTTGGGGTGAAGAATCATCCATTCACTATTACAATGTAGCTATTCACTAAATATTGTTAATCATGGTACACTAAAATAACTACCATAGATCATTTCACCAGCTATTTTCAAGGAACTTAGATGGGCCATGGAGTTAGTTAACTAGTTTGTAACTGGAGTTATAACCCAAAAAAAGTCCCAATTATAAGCCATTTACTAACTAGTGAACTAACTCCATGGCCCATCTAAAAAAAGTCCCAATTATAAGCCATTTACAAACTAGTTAACTAACTCCATGGCCCATCTAAGTACCCTTTGGGTTCCCAGGCATGAATCAGTTCGGCCCCAAGGCCCTTGTACTTCTGGATGCGGCATCAAGCCCTGGAAAGACGCAGTTCCAGGAACCGGATCTAGGGTGGGTTCCAGCAACGAAAAAGGCGTTTTTTTTTTCAGAAATGTTCAAAGAACTATGATGGATGTATCATACAATGGAATATGAATGGAATATTTACAGAAATATACATGATGGACTATCCTGGGACTATCAATGGATTTGTTTAGTTGGGAAAATCTTGAACGGAATGATGGATTTGTCACTGTAGATATGGTGTAAGAACTAAGATCTATCCACATGATAATCTACAGTATATAGTATATAGTGAATGGATTGCTTTTGTTGGGAAAATCTTAACCGGAAGCCATAGATTTTCCCATGAAAATCATGGGGTTTTCCTCTAATTTTTCCCTTAAACCAATCCATTGAATGATGGATTTATCCTTTAGATATGGTGATATGGATTTATCCCTTCTTCATCGAGTTTTTTTCAGTAGAACTTGTGTGGTTGAAGAACCAACAAAGATGTGGGTTTCAACTTCGGAACTAACATGAAATGATGGTTTGAACTAGCACAAAATGCTGGTTTCAACTCGAAACGTGGCTTTCAAGCTACCAAATTTGTTATAAACCAACAAACTGTTGGTTTCAACTTTAAAAGCGTCAAAAGTAGTGTAGGTCATGCATTGTGAGGAACATGTGGTCATTGGTTGCAGTCTGAAGTGGAATGAACCCAGGGGAATTTGCCGATCTAAGAAATCTAAGATGCCAAGAGACAGGCAGCTTGCAATGTGTTGCATAGTGAGGCAGCCGAGAAAACGTGGGAGTTTCATGTTTTCCAGAATTTTCTGGAAATCCTCCGCTGCCATTCTTCAAAAATGGTGAATCCATAGGAAATGTCCGGGCTCAGGCACCGATTTTTTGGAGGTACCTACCATAGAAAAAAGGCCTATGTGCTAAATTTCAGGGGATATAGCCTCTGGTTATTTAATATAGCCATGGAAAATGGCCCATAGAAATAGATGATTTTCCCAGCGAACTAAACCTCCATTTATTTTCGGGATTTTCCATTACGCTATGTTAGCCATAACCAGATGGTACCCCCAAGTTCTTTGGCTTTGCTACTAACATACCTCTAGAACTTGGCTCCTGATAGTTCCCTCAAAGTCTTGGATGGTTAGTTTTCACGATGGTTTCCGGTGAGATGGTCCTCCCTTAAACCAATAAAAAATGATAGAAGCTACCCGGTGAGATGGATTAACCATCAATGACTACCCAGCCTGGTGATTAACCATTTGGGGAATCGATGAAGTGAGTCTATAGGGAATTATAGGGAATCTATAGGGGATATATCTATACTTACCCGGCCTGGTAATGACATTCACAGTTTGCGAACTTGAAGCCATGGCCCAGTCGAAAGTTCGTTGATGTTCCCATCAAAAATGGTGGATCTTTCCATTGTTTTTTTTGTGAGAGTTTACCAGAGGGTAATCCACTATAAATGTCAAGTTTCCATGGTTCATCCATTGATCCATTGGTGAAATAAAATATGTTCGAACTGTTCGAACTGGATGGGAATCCCACTGTACCAATTTTTTCCCGATCGGGTATAGGTCAAAATATTGGGTAGCGCAATAATTAGATGGGTAATATTGAACATATCCAAGTCCATCTGTGGTCCCTTTGGGGCTTAAATGTTACAATGTGAGGCCCCCCAGTTATAAGTTGGTTTATAAGCCCCAGTAACTATAGTTATAAATACCATAAACCATAGTTATTGGAGTTATAAACCAACTTAGATATCTTGGGCCTCACTTTGTAACCAATAAAATCCAAGAAAGACATGGGACTGGTTCAAATTTTAAGGTCCCAGGAGACAGTAGATTCTGTTAATTTTTAGGATATACCGCTTAATTTTAGGGGGTATCTAATTTCCCATGCCCATTGAAGAAAAGTATGGTACCATTCATTAGATTTCATTAGGCTTAATAATCTAGATTTTAATATATTTTAATAATGATAATAGTAGAATTGTCTAATGATAAGCGTTATTAATCATTCTCAACCATTAATCACCATCATTGACCAATATTACTGATGTGGGATGGCATCACACCTGGGGTGTAGTATCAATGATTATCAATGTTATAGATTGATACCAATCAATATAATTTCAATTACTACTACTATAATTTCCATTGTAGAATGTTCTAATGATAATCTATTGATATCCATTAATCATGTATTGATTATCCATAGATTACCATTATCATGATAATCATCTTTTATGGATATCAATTGATTGACAGATATTAATCTAGTGATATTCATAATCTATCCATTGATTATGATTTCCAATGATACTATGGAAAGTATATCAATAGATTCTCATTAGAACATTCTACGAAATGATATCCATTTCATGTATACTATTAATCTATGGAATCCATTGATACTGTCTAATTCTAATGAAAATTCCATTGATTTCCCCACTCTCTGCAGGAGCCACGGGGGCGCCGTCGTCTTTGGCATCTCTGCGCCTGCATCTGAGACAGGGTGCAGAGTCGAAGGTTCGCCCGTTTGCCATGGAAAAATCCAGGAAAATTGAGGTTTAACCACGGAAAAATCGATGAACATAGGATTTTTTGACGTGAAAAGTGAGATTTTATATGCAATTTATGATGATTTACCTATGAACAACATCACACCTTCTTGGCCAACCAACTGGATGGATAGAGTTGCTAATCCTTGAAATTTTGCAATAAATTTCGGAATATCTACTTTGACCGAGCTGAAAGGTTAATTTCTTGCGGGGTATCTAAGATTGGCCATGATTGGGATGCAACTGTGTAACCTCTGGTAAACTAACACTTTGCGAACTGGGAAATCACTATTTCAATAGGTAAATGATCTATAAATGGCCATGTTTACACATGATCTCATGTTCGTTGATATTCTTAGGCAAAAACCACGCAGCACTGAGGCCGCAAGGGTTTGGCAAGACCACCACCATGCAGTTGCTTGAGGCGTGGTTTTCAGGTCGTCATCACCCTGTGACGATCGTTGAAAATTTCTGGCTGAGGTATGTTTCCAGTTGGTAACTATAAGGTAACTATCAGCCAGAAATGGTTGGTTTAATGGTAATATCACCATTTTGAATGGGTTAATCATGGTTAATAATGATTAATACTGGTTGCTAGGTGAATCTTAGATGGATAGAAAATGATAGAAACTCATCCTAACTAGTCTTTTGGTATCTGGCTGGGAATATCTACGTTCACCAGCAAAGAATTTATTTTTTGCAGGGTATCTAAGATTGGCAACGCTATGAAACACTGTACATTATGGGATTATGATGGGATTCTGCCCATCTCCCAACTGGTGCAGGATTTCGCTGGCCCATCCGCAGTATGTTTTGAAATAATAGTGGTTTGATGATGGTTAATTAATCGTCAATACTGATCTGCCATCAACCCCAACCGGTTGGGTTGGCGAATGGCTTGTTAATAGTTATGATAATAATGACGGATTGTCAGGATTGTCAATTTGTGCAATGCTCAAAAGTTGATTATATACCTATATTATTATAGGAAATTACCTATATACCCTCTGGTTATTTAACATAGCCATGGGAAATGGCCCATTTATAGATGGTTTACCTATTAAAAATTGTTATTTTCCACGGCTATGTTAGTCATAACCAGATGGTATACCTATATTATATTGGGGGATGGGAAAATCATCAATCCATTTTCAAAGGGAATTACATGCAGAAGAAAACCCAGCATGTTAGGAATATGGGATGATCATAAACCATCTACCATGCTTTTGACCATGGCACAGATGCTTTATGGTGCTCGAAATATGTTGAAATATGGATTGAATCAAATATGGTGGTCGAAATACGTTGAAATATGGACTATAACAATCTATAACATAAATTCTTACATCATTTCAACCACCAATGGCGGAAGTGTTGAAATAAGATTGAAACAACTATGATTGTGACTTTTTATTTCATGAAATATGTGGAAATATGGACTATAACTTCATTTTTGGTGGAAGTGTGTTTGCTCATTTTTCAAGCGCCATTGGAATTTGTCACCCAACGAGCCGATCAAGCCGCCGCTGATTCGGGGGATGGAGCCACCAGGAGTGCGACGCTCAAGCGGGATGATTCTTAACCAAAATCACCACAAGGTGATGCCCAAATTTTTCGTTAAGAATCATAGCCTCTGGTTATGTCAAAATAGCTATTGAAAATTGCCATTAATTAAAAATGGTGGATATTTCCACAGTTCTGTTAGTTTTGTGAACGCGATTCGTTGGTGCAAATGTGTGTCCAATGTCACAGGCTGGTTTTTTGTCGGTGATATATCGAACTATAGTTTTCATGGGATTATTGATTATAATCCATTTATAACTGGATGATTTATAACTTATAACCATCATGAAAAACCACTATTATTTCAAAGCATACTGTGGATGGGCCAGCGAAATCACCAGTTGATAGGCAAAATACCATGATAATCATGTTTCAAAGCGTTTCATGGTATCATAAGTTGATACCAATTGGTAGATGGGCAACTTATCCCTAAAACTGTGATTGTTTTACATAGATAAATAATGGAATTTTCTCCATGTAGGGCAAACACAAAACCAACATAATAGTGGGAATTACCAATATGGTAGATGATCATAAGCCCACTATTTTTTCAGTGTTTCATAGTCCCATTAGTTACATACTGTGGATGAACTTTTGGAACGTTTTGAACTGGATCCACTAACTTGGCTCTGAATGACCCGAAATTCAAGGATCTGTGGTCACTTAGCCCCTCCAAGTACCAAAAAAAATGTTGGTAAAAGTATTGAGATATGGACCTGGAGTAAAACAACCTTTTTTAAGGGTACTTACTTGCTACTAAAAAATAAGGTGATTCTTCCCTACCAATTGGTCTTCTCCACTCAACAGGCACTTTTTGTGGCTGATGGCTTCAATTTTCAGGCCGGGAAATGGAAACGTCATGTGGAAACTTTGGTTTTTCCGGGACTTTCTGTCCGCTGGTAAACTAACATAGCTATGGAACATCACCATCTCTAATAGGTAAATCAACTATACACGGGCAACTTTCAATAGCTACTCGTATGTTAAATTACCAGAGGGTATCGGCTGGATGAGTTTATGTTTGTTGGTTCTGGGTCTTCGATTTGGTGAGCAAAATCGCATACTGCTGCAATAAAAGACTCTCAAGATTCCAATGGCTCAATTCAGAGAAGTTGTTTGTTCCTCAACCTGAGTCACGACTTTAGAGGGTTGAGGTTTGGGCATCATTGAATTTCATATTATGCAATGTGCCACGATTTTTGTGGTGATTTGGTCAAAACTGGGGACCTTAAAGCTCTTTAGAGGCTCAGATATCTCCAATTTCCGAACCATTTCTTTGTTTGGGGGAAAGGCAAGGGTCTCAAGTGTGACAAAGATCCCAATCACTTGCCGGGATACATGGAGGGCCGCTAGTACGGCATGGTCGTTGGCCATTGATCGGTAGTCCACTTGAGTCATTTAACAATACCCCGGTGGGGATTATGATAACCCATGGTAGGGAAAACTATCGACCAACTGGTATTTCATGAGATGGGATTGAGTAGACTACAGACCAAAAGGCTCAATGTTATTTGTTGTTTGCATAAAATTCGTAGCACATACCCTCTGGTAATTTAACATAGCTATTGAAAATCACCATTTTCAATGGGTAAATCCACTATAAATGGCCATGTTCAATAGCTATTTTGACATAACCAGAGGGTACATCCAAAAGTTGGTGCCTGTATGGGGTTGTTTGAAAATGAGGCAGTCCCAAAACAATGGACTGTCACATTCCTCATCCTTGAATGAAGAAGGGCAGATCTGTTTGATAATAAGCCAACAGAACGAATCCAATCAATCGAAACTGGTTTGTTGGGACCCGGGACATGATGGACACCTTTTCCATACGATGCCTGGCGATCACCATTTCTTGGTTTCTGGACTCATCAATGGAAGTGGGGACTTGTTTTCCTTCATGAATGCCAAGTTGCGACAGCATTTTCCCAAACCTGTTTTGATTTTGGATGATGAATCAAGAACTTTTCAACATGCTCGACCGTCATGGTCATCAGTTTGTGAAGTGGTTGAATTGTGTGCGGGATTTGGAGGAATTTGTCAAGGAATGGCCCCATTGGGTTTTTCTCCTGTTCTTGCGGTGGATTTCAATGAAAAGATGACTCAGCTCTATCGTAAGCAATGTGATGTGGAAACATTGGTTGGCGATGTGTGCTCAGTAGATGTGATGTGCAAGGTTTGGAATTACTCCAAAGGTGCCTCCACAATAGCTGCAGGATACGCATGTCAGCCATTCTCCACCCTTGGAGACCAGCAAGGGGGCAAGGATGCCCGTGCACTGAGCTTGCGAGGAATTTTGGCCACGGCCTTTTACACTCAGGCCCAAGTGGTCATCCTGGAATGCGTCATCCCAGCTGCGGCAAATAGCTGGGTCAATTGCGAGATCCAGAAGTTTGTGGAAGCCACCAATTTCCATTGTACAAAGACGGAACTCCATTTGAACGATGTTTGGCCATCCAGGCGATCACGTGCATGGTGGGTGTTATCAGCTCAATGGATTGGTAAGGTTCAGATTGACACTTGGCCACGACTGAATATTGTGAGTAAGGTTGCACAAGTCATTCCTAGGATCTTGGCTTGGTCTCCTGAAGATGAGAAGAAGTTGTTGCTTCAAGCGATTGAAAGAACTGCATTTGGAGTTGATGACAACAATTTTGCAAGATACCTGCTGAATCATGAGGGTTGCGCCCCCTGCGCATTACATTCATGGGGATCTCAACTTGTGGCTTGTGAATGCGGATGCCGTGCATCAGGGCTTTCTTGGAAGAGGCTTGAGGAGAAAGGTTTGTTTGGATTGCTGGTGAGGTCAACTGCCGATTGCTGTTACCAAGAAATCCGACACATCCATCCAAATGAATGTCTTGCACTTCTGGGATTTGACCCCATTATTGATTTTGGGAGTAACCCGCGACTCACCTTGGCTGCTGCAGGGCAAATGGCGAGCCCCCTTCAAGCATTGTGGATTTTCGCATGCCTGGCCAGTAGGCTGTCTCAACTGAGGTTTGGAAGTGTACCTTTCACACCATTTGCACAGTTACAGGCGTACCAGGCGTGGGTTTTGATGAGATGCAGACAGGTGTGGCCCTGTGTGACTGAGCCCATTTGTGATGAAAAGATGGCTTCTCTCATCAGGTTTTGGACGAAATACTCTCAGTTCTCCATTCATGAACTCATGCATCCAGCTCGATGGCCTCAGCTGGGCGAACATGAAATCACCATTGCGTCGATCCTTGACCTGATCATTAGAGAACAACAAGGTAATCACACTCCAATGCATGATGTGTCGGGATCGGATGACATGTGTATTGATGATTCTTGTGAACGGAATGATGAGGCTCCCACACCATGGTTTGAACAACCCAGTGAACATGGACCGAACTTGCCAAGTCCTGTTGAAGGTGTGTGTAGGGTGGTCTTCTTTCACGAGTTTGCTGATCCAATCACCCTCACGGTCTCTCCAGGGGGTATGATTCATGAGTTAGTCCGAGCTCAAGCCAAACTGGTAGGTGACTTGCAAATCACAACCATCGTCAACCAATATGGTGTTGAGTTGTCACCCCGGCATGTCATTGAAGCAGGTCAAGTCATTTGCATTCGATATGAGGATTCCCCTGCCACTGAAGAAATCCAATCTCAGCGTGTTGAGGTGCGAAATGACGAGGGTGTCAAACATCCTGGTCTCAGTGATGATGCAAACGTTGCTCCGACCATCTCTCCGACAGTAGAGTGGTCCCAACCAATCTGTGGAGTGCAGGCCACACAGGTTGATTTGATGTCCATTGAATCAAGAAATGATGGGATGAATCTTGCCAGTCCAGATGCCCACAGGCAAGCACTCAACTTTTCATGGATTTCTGCTGCTCCCCTGTTGGGTCTTGATGCTGACCAACTGTTGAAGCTCCAGGTGCCGGTGGTAGTGCATGACCAACATGTTTGGGCGTTGAGACAGCAAGTCATTCAACCGCAAGATCGTATCCAACTCCTTAATGCACAGGCAGGAACATGGAGTGATGATGAAATCCGTCACCATTTGACATTGATTCTCAATTCAGTTGAAGGGGTGCGCACACAACATGAGGAAAGCCAGCCATTGAAACATTTTCTCCTGGATCCCTTGCTCTCAACCGGATGGGTCCACCATGGAACCCAAGCTTGCTCCATGTGGGGATTGCAACATCCTGAAATCAAGTTGCATGCCATGACTGTTGTCACTGTATGTATGATTGATCAACACTGGATCCCGGTCATTATGACACCCCAAGCTGACAACTTGCACGTGTGTACCTGGGACACTCCAGGCAGTGATCACTCGAGACTCAACATGATGTGTGAGCATCTTGCGCATGCTTTGGGTTTTTTGGGGGTATCATTTGAACGGCACCACAGGTTGTTCTTCTCATCAGACAAATGTGGAGCTCTTGCCATGGCTTTTGTCTCATATGCTGTATGCCACACCATGTTGCCGACCACCAATGATGAGGCTGAGATCATTCATCAGCGGATGCGGAGTGAGTTTCGAGCAGCAATTGAAAACTGTCAAATGGCCTTTCGACCATGGATTTGGGGCAAGGGCGATCATGCTCACATGCCACCAACCACTGAGGGTTTGCCTGATGCTCCGCCCCAGCCAGCAATCGGTCTCTCTCACACGTGCATCTCCAAAGAGGCCCGTATGGCCCTGCTGAGATACCATGACAAAGAGTGGGGAGATGATGAAATCCGGTTTCATATCCAAAACATGCTTGCACATGCTGACAATGTGACACGACAAAGGAGTCCTGTTATTCCTGGTTTTGAGACGGTTGATCCATTGATTCTCCACACATGGGATACTGTTGGTAAGGGCCTTTTTGAATCCTGGTGCCGGGTCCATCCGCAGATCGCTGACAATGGCCACCATGTTGTTGCAGCACTGCTTGTTGACAGACATTGGGTACCAATTTGGGTTGCCCCACATGGGAGAACATTGGTTGTTCATTTGCTGCATGATGGCATTACTGAAACTGCCAAGTTGGAACCTTTCATGGAGGTATTGCGTTCTCATTTCGGATTTAATGAAGTGGTTTTCCATTGGACTCCGCAAAGGGTGCCTGCACATGACATGTGTGGTGCTGCAGCAATTGCTTTTTTGGGCCATTTGATCGTGGGAGCTGACCTCCCTGAGGACTTACTGGCATTGAGGTACATGCATTCAAACATGAAAGCTGGCTTTGTGCAAGCAGTTTACCTGGATGAAGCATGCCGCTGTCCGGTGGCCTGGGGTTCTGGACCATCCACTGCATTGGTGAAAGCCCTTTCAGATGAATTGGCCAAGCATGGGGTTCCGGATGGGCTTTTGGAACAGAGATCTCAGCAAGCTATCCGTGCCATTGGCTCTGAGCCCTTACAGAATGCTCTTAAGGCAAAGAATGTTTGGCGATCTCTTAAGACCATTGCTAACCATGTCCGTTTTCAGTTCATTTTGCCGGAAGAACTGGCAGCTGTGGTTGAGTCGAACAAAGGTGCTCCAGTAGGGAAAAAGCCCCGAGGTGGAATGCTGAAATCCTGGACCCGGCGAAACTTGCTTTGCTTGAGGGTGCTTTTCGTGTTGCTGGCCAGCCTGTGCCACAAATTGCAGCACAACAAATTGGCCCAGTGGCTGCCGGAGTTGCCATGATCTCGTACCATGATGCCCTTCCGTATTTAAAGAATGGCAGACCTGTTTCCAATGGACCACTTGCGATTGCTGTCCTCAGCGAACCACATGTTGACATTCAAACGGCGCTGCCCCATACCAAGCTTATGGTGCCCTGTATTTGCTCAGTCAATTCGGAACCACTGTTGGTAGAGGCCACACTTGTGCA